GGGGGCGTGTTAATAAAGACAGGTAATAGTAGAAATCATAGAAGTAAAACAGAAAATGGCTAGAGTTAGATAAAGGCTGCTTTGGGGGGGGGGGAAGAATGATAGTGTTGCGTTTATAAATGTGCTCAGTACTAAAACTTTAAGGCTATACAGAATGGTTCAATTACCATTAAAGTTCCAGTTCCTAATGGAAATATTTGAATCTTTGGCAATGAAGGACCAGATGATCAAGGAGTTTTCATAGCAGAAAATTCTCCCAGTGGGAGTAATGCTAGTGATTTTTAGTGTAGAGCTTCTCCCAGTGAGAGTAATGCTAGTGATTTTTAGTGTAGAGCTTCTCCCAGTGAGAGTAATGCTAGTGATTTTTAGTGTAGAGCTTCTCCCAGTGAGAGTAATGCTAGTGATTTTTTAGTGTAGAGCTTCTTTGTTTGTTTGTTATGGATTTCGCGCAAAGCTACACGAGGGCCATCTGCGCTAGCCGTCCCTAATTTAGCAGTGTAAGACTAGAGCGAAAGGCAGCTAGTCATCACCACCACCCACCGCCAACTCTTGGGCTACTCTTTTACCAATGTATATTGGAATTGACCGTCACGTTATAACGCCCCCACGGCTAAAACGGGCGAGCATGTTTGGTGGGACGGAGATTCGAACCCGAGACTCTCAGATTGCGAGTCGAATGCCCTAAAGGATAATACAGGATCAAATCTAACTGGCTTACTAAAGACATAAAGAAGAAAACTGGGGATAAATGTCATAAATTTAAGAAGTTTCAATTAACAGATAGGATGAAAGTTTTATATAACTATAGGAAAGACAGGAATGCATTTAAAAATAAACTTATAAAGGACATAGAAGTAGTTGGCCGATAATCATCAACTAACAACAAAGAATTTCCAAGTATTTTAAAGTTTGTTTGTGTTCTCGTTGCCTTTAGCAAAGCCACATTGGGCTATCCGTTGTGTCCACCGCGAAGAATCAAACCCCGGATTTTAGTGTTGTAAGTCCGTAGACCTACCGCTGTCCCACTGGGAGACAAAGTACGTTAAAACTAAGCAAAGTGTGAAAAGTCAAACTAGTTCTTACCGCGGGGAATCGAACCTCGGTTTTTAGCGTTGTTAGTCCGTAGACCTACCGCTGTCCCACTGGGAGACAAAGTACGTTAAAACTAAGCAAAGTGTGAAAAGTCAGACTAGTTCTTACCGCGGGGAATCGAACCTCGGATTTTAGCGTTGCAAGTCCGTAGACCTACCGCTGTCCCACTGGAGGACGAAGCACGTTAAAACTAAGCCAAGTGTGACTGGTTCTTTAGCGAATGCTCATGGCAACGTTTTTGTTGAAGACTACGAGAATTCTGAGTGTTTTCTTCTGTTCTTGATGACGAGGAACCCACTTTTTAGAAATAAAAGTTTGGAGACGGCTTGACTGGGTAATGAAAAAAAAAAACTTTATTGTAAATGTACGGCGTTTCGACAATATTATGTCATCTTCAGGTACCTGAGAAGGCTGAGTGTTGTCTTAATAAAATGTACGGCGTTTCGACAATATTATGTCATCATCAGGTACCTGAGAAGGCTGAGTGTTGTCTTAATAAAATGTACGGCGTTTCGACAATATTGTGTCATCATCAGGTACCTGAGAAGGCTGAGTGTTGTCTTAATAAAATGTACGGCATTTCGATAATATTGTGTCATATCAACACTGGAGACCGGAAGTTTGGAATAGCTTACAAGGGGAATTGATGATTTCCTGAAAAGTAAAAAGTTCGTTTACATTTTTATTTTTTATTTTTTTACATGCTGGGTGTGCATGGACTGCCTTGGGGGATCAAATACACGAAAACCTTAACTAAATAGTCAACAGCAATCTTGCATTTCAAATATTTATATAATACATCTTGGAAAAATTCCCCGTGCCCATTGTGTATGGTCTTTTTTTTTTTTTATTTTCGATTGTTTGTTTTTTCTCGCCTTGTTTTATAACAACTTTCTAGAAATGTTATTCTTTTAGCACGTGAATTTAGCACGATATTAGATTGCATATCACGTTCTGAAAAGATCTGGCTGTCAGACAGATTATTTATGTTACTAGGATATGTTGACAATCATTGACAGTGAAAGATATGCTACTTATACTATCTTCTCTAAGTAACAATTTAATACAATTTAGTTAGGCTTAGCTACCCCGAAAGTGGAACGGTTACGGTATTTATTATTTGTGTACATAAAAGAAAAAAGAAGATAAAAATTTAGTTCTGACACTTAAAAGTGCCCTTTAATTTGTTCTATCGTCTTGCCTATTAATATTCGTTACCAGTCGTGTACTGACTTAATGAGTTTATTAGATTTATTTGTGGTTAAGCACAAAGCTACACAAAGAGCTATCTGTGCTCTACCCACCACAGGTTTGTTTGTTTATTTTTGAATTTAGCGCAAAGCTACACGAGGGCTATCTGAGCTAACCGTCCCTAATCCGGCAGAACGCGCACAAAATTATGGGTTTAATAGAGTTAAAATGAAATTGATTTGTTTTTTGGGGTTTGAATTTAGCGCAAAGCTACACGAGGGCTATCTGCGCTAACCGTCCCTAATTTAGCAGTGTAAGACTAGAGGGAAGGCAGCTAATCATCACCACCCACCGCCATCTCTTGAGCTACTATTTTACCAACGAATAGTGGGAGTGACCGTCATATTATAGCGGCCCCACGGCTGAAAAGGCGAACATGTTTGGTGTGACGGGGATTCGAACCCGCAGATTGCGAGTTGAGCGCCCCCTAACCACCTGGCCAAAGTGAAACTGAAAAATGAAACACGAGAGTAAGAAATTCATTCCTGATAATGACAGTGAAATACTGCCGATGAAAATGAAATACGGGAGTAAGAAATCCATTCCTGATAATGACAGTGAAATACTGCCAAAAAATTGCAATTAAAGTTTCATTGCGCAGGATGAAACGTTGTTATTTGTGTTTTTATTAAAAACAGATTCAGAACAAGCACAGTATCCCAGAATGCTTTTGTCTAACGGTCTTCTGTGTTCCTCACCTGGAATGCTGCTTACCAATATCTTGTTAGATTTGGTATCTAATATTTTTCCTCTCTTTTTTTTTAACCAACAGTGGTTCTAGCAAAAGTGAAAAGTCTCGGGAAAAGTCACGACAGTTACAAATCCTACGACATTCGACTAAAGAAAGAGTTCAAGGTAAAAAATAAATTAAAATATACATGTAGTCTTACTACAAAGATGATTCATTATGTATGCGTGTGTGTGTGTGTTAGTATCACCTAGTGTGGACTGGCTCGATCACTGTAATGTTTGGTATGGTTACTGGAAACTGACTGTGTACATGGTCTATTTAATATTAGGATTTTTGTCCAAGAAGTGGGATAAAAATACCCTAAAATAACGCAAATTTCCACTTTTTTATAGAATTTAAAGATACAAGTACTTAATCAGTTAAATTAGTCAATTATTAACTTCCACATATCAGGGTATGCAATTAGCATCTAATAAGATTATTAAGGGTTTAATAACAAAAGAAAGAAGGAAGGGCAACATTATCTAATGTTGCCCTATATACAATTTATGATTCCTTAACAGAGACCATGATCTAATAAATATAAAGCAGGCATCACGTTAAAGAGTCGTTACTTTTCCCCCAGTTTAGATAATTCAAGCAATTGCATTATTTGTTATTATTATACGTCCTTAGATTTGTTGAGGAATTATTTTTAATAATCTGTTCATGTTTTGGAGAATGCTTAAGAGGAATTTAACAGAAAATTGTATAATAATCACCGCCGCAACATTGTAAAGAAATACGGTCCCATAACATGTATTAAAATATTATTATCTCATTAGTACTATTAGTCTTTAGTATTCGCCCAAAAAAATAGACTAGTTAAGGAAAATACGTATATGTTTACAGTATTTAATGTTTTTGTACATCTATTGTATAACCAGGAAATGATGGTGAGAAATTCTTAGTAAGAAATTGAACACTTTTGTTTTATAAGCATAATTGACCTTTGTCTTTCTGTCAGATTTTTCTTAACCCTGCGTTAGGCTTTCGGGGTCTTCACGGACTCCAAATATTTTGTAAACATTGGCGCCGATAGATGGAAACACGTATATGTTTGTTGTTCTCAATAGCTTCAGTATTCGGCTAGTTTGTGTTAAACTGTTACACGTTGTTTAGGTGGCAAAAATGTAACAAGTTGTAATTTTCAAGGTTCATTTATTGATTACTAAAAAAAAATTTGAATGTTAGTGTTTTTTTTTCTACAAAATAATATCTTATTATTATTTAAATCTTTCAAAATTAATCTTTTATGATGGAGTCGCTCGGATCCCGGGAGAATGATTATGGAAAATGTTTACAGAAGATTAACGCATGATTAACTGTTTTACTTGAAGATAAACATTTCGGTTTGTAAATGAATGTACGTGTTTTTGCAATGGTCAATGGAATAGAAACCAACAAATGCAATATTTTATGTCTAAATGATTTTTAAAAAACTTAGTTATAAATCAGTATCTTATATTGAATCTGGGATGCAGTCCAATATGACATAAGAACCTTTCCATTTCAGAGTCGCAAGGGCATGTCATAAATATTTTTTATAAAAAATCTATAGCTACCGTTTGTTTGTAATTAAGCACAAAACTACACAATGGGCTATCTGTGCTCTCCCCACCACGGGTATCGAAACCCGGATTCTAGCGTTTTAAGTCCGAAAACATACCGCTGGGAGGCCTATAGCTACCGACCACTAATAAAAAATCCCTGAAAATGCTTGCTTACAACGTTGTTTACAACACTAAAATCCAGGATTTGATTCCCCGCAGTGGGCACAGCAGATTTTGTTGAGAACCTTGCTCAAATTATTTTTAGTAAAAATAAAATAAATAAATATATTGTTGCAGTTTTCAAAATATTCACTGTAAATACTCGTGTATAGTGCGCACTTTATGACATTAGACATGGATAGATCAAACGCAAGAAAATCATAAAACTAAAAAAAAAACAATGCGCAGTGTCGGTTTGGCGTCATCTAGTAACTTTTTGCTTAAGTTGTGTTGTTATTTGGATTATTATTGTTTAATTATATATTATTGTCATTATTCTAGTTTATCTGACTTATACATCATTCTACTAACATTAACCAAACTAACGAGTGTATATATACACGTATAAAGTTAGGCAGTTTTATGCCCAACTTTGAAATCATTAGAGGTATTTGTAACCAAAATAGTTCACAAAAATAAATATGCTAAAACTGAATTTTGTAGTCTTGTCTGTAGCCTCTCCAATTATTCAAAAATCCATCTTGTAATTTAAATTATCGAGAAAAAAATCAGTTTAGTAGTAGGAAAAATAGAGAGGCCTTAATTAGAAAGAAGAACCTTGAAATAATACGTATGTATAGATTTTTATGTCTTTTTGTTGTGTTTAGATGACCAAAAAGGCACGTCAAGCATTGAGCCATGGACTTATCTGGACTGCCACATACGACTCTCTCTGTGGAGTTTCTCTCAATAGGACCAAATACGTCATTACAGGTTGTTGCTGCCATCTACATAAATTCAAGTTAACTAAACAGTTAAATATTAATATGGATTATTCATTTATAAGTAAAAGGCTTAACTTTTACATTATAAAAAGTTAAGTTGTTGATAAGGAAATTTATAAGTCAAAACTTAGATAATATTTTGATATTTTTGTAATTATATGTATTATTAATACAAATAAATTTCGCACATATACATATATTATTACATGTTTATAGATTGTTTATTATGAATCACACAATTTCAAAAAGGTTAACAAATTACATATACTTAAATATTTGGGTACGTATTTTATATGAAACAAATTAGGGCTGCCATCTATTGACAAAACTGGTGTATCAATTAATGGTAATTTTATTTTAAATATATTATTAGAAACAGCTTATATGTTAATACTACCAATAATGTTTGATTATTTTCTATTGCATATTCCTGTTTGGTTGTTCCTATAATTCATACTCTAACTCGTTTCCAAAGACGACTTAAGAATGAATGATATTTAACAATTGTTATAGTGTGTATGCCTTTTACAGGTTGGCGAAAAATGGTTACACGTATATTTGTCATAATTCGTTAGGCCTAATTGTAATGTCTTGAGAAATGTAATTAATGATTTTTGTTGAAAATGATATTTTGTTCATTCAAATTGCGGGATGATATGTTGAAATTTGAACAGAATGTTTATCGTAAAACTGACATTTACGCACAGTTTTGTTGCAGATTTTAAAGTTACTGAAATTATATTCTTACTTCTCTGTTTTCCAATAGATGGCGCAACAATATTTCTAGTATTTTCCTTTTGTAAAAAGTTTCAATATCAAGACATTTTGAGCATGATTTCCCCCATAAAATATCAAATAGCAACAAATATAATATGCATACTATTTCAATATTAGCCAATAATATACAGTTCATAGTTTATACAACATATGATTTTGTGTGCCCATTCCTTTATTGTTTGATAAAAACAAAAGTGCACTAAAATTCAGTTATTATACATAGATACATACATATATATGATACTGTTTGTTTTGCTTATATTTTGATCACAGAAAAATATAGATTCTAAACATATGACGCCCCCACACGATACAGAAACAAATCACTTATTTTAATGAAACTACAGCAAGGGATCTGGTTAGAAGGATCCAGCAGGGACAAATTTTATATACATTACGATAACTCATTCATTTGTCTCACAACATTAGTGTGTTACCACATCACAATAACTAACCTTTTCATGTTTTTAATCTCGCTCCCAGGAGGCGTGAACGGAGAGAAACCATGGCTTTCCTCCTGCAATTACTTTAAAGAGTGGTCTGCTTTGTCCAGAAAACAGAGAAAAGCGTTCCGGAAACTATACCAACACGGCTGTGGATGTAGGGTAAGGAATAGTGCTTGTATTACAGAAAAGCGTCAATAAAAACACCGTTACTCAATTGAACTACATGGTAATGTAAATTTGCAATTTTAATCTTTAAAATATTCTCCAAGGATAGTAAACTAACGAAATATGATACTATTTCGATGACGAGAAACCCACTTTGAGACTAATAATGCTTGGTATCTTGGCACCCCGGGGTGTTCCATCTTAATTGAACAAAACAACCCTACTCTAAACCAACACCCCGGGGTGCCAAGATATCTCTTCTAAGTTTTGCAACAGTATCTGGTCATGTGACCTCTTTGTTCAATATTGTATATATATATCCGTGTCAGTGTAAGTTACTTGAACCTGATGATGACAAAACCTTGTCGAAACGTTGTACATTTGCTGTTATGTTAAACTTATGTTAAAGTTTTTCTTCATTGCCCATTCAAGCCGTCTCCAGCCATTATGATACTATTTGTTTTGCTTATATTCTGATCATAGGAAAATATAGATTCTAAGTATATGACGCCCCCACACGATACAGAAACACATCATTTATTCCAGTGAAACTACAGCAAGTTAGAAGGATCCAGCAGAGACAAATTATGTCACCTGTTCACTTGCTTGTTCGTACCTATATCTGTTTCACGTGATTTACTCCTTTTAACATTCGCACCTGTCTTGACCTAGTGGTGAGAATGCCCAGACAGTGAATCCGTGCGTTCCCGGTTCGCGTCCCGCTGTGACAAAAAACTGAATCCGCACTTAGATCAGTGAGTGCGCTATAAGAGTGATAGTCAAATTCCACTATTCGGTCATACAAGAATAGTCCAAGAATTAGCGGTGGATGCTGTTGACTAGGTGCTGTCCCATTTTTTTCATCAATTCAAAATGATAGACAGCACCTAGCTAGCCCTTTGTGTAAATTTGCTCCAAAAAATCTAAATTCCCTTTAACCTTCAAACTACAGACATTTTTTTATGCTGTCCACTACCGGTAGGTTCACATATCATACTAAACTAAGTATGGTATGTTTTTACCAGTTATAACACACAGTGTAAAGAAGTGACCAAAAAGGGGGTTAAACCAGTTATGTAAACATATAGGAAGCTCCTGTATTAATTAGCAGAATTAGTTACAATACTGACGGAATTGTTATCTAAAAATTGTGTGAGACATGTGTACCTTTAGGGACTCTGTAATTAATAATAACCCTAGATCCACAAGCAATGTGTTTAAAAAGCCCTCAACCCCCTGGAGTAATACTGGGGTTAAATAATGGTCTTATTGTTCATCTCATTTCTTTAATTCAGACATAGATACTGACGATTACAGGCATTGATAATGCTATTGCCATTTACTCTGTCTGCCATGGCCTGGTGGTTAGGGCACTCGACTCGCAGTTTGAGGGTGGTGGGTTCGAATATCGTCCTTGAACATGTTCGTTCTTTCAGCCGTGGGGGCGTTATAGTGTGACAGTCAATCCCACTACTCGTTGGCAAGGCAAAAAGTAGCCTAAGAGTTGGCGGTGGGTGATGTTGATTAACTATCTTCCCTTTAGTCTAACATTTCAAAATTAGGGACAACAAGCAGAGATGGCGCTCGAGTAGTCCAATGCGAAACATGTCGAACTTGTTCAATCGAGGACCGAACAGTCCATCCATCCATCTCTTATAAATCTCATTAAAATGAAATAAAATGTTCGCTCACTTCAACTTTTTTCAGTAAATACGAACCATTTCAACTGCTGTCATTGATCTATTTGTTTTGAAAATTATACTTGTACGTTTTATACAAGTTAGTAGTTTCGAATTACATATTTAGGTTTTGGTACGTGTTTTTTATAATACATAAACTGGAATTTTTCAACTATTTTAGGGACCATTGGGCGTTAACTTACGTATTTCCCTCTCCACTTTTTTCAGATAATATCTTTCTCCAGACACATGTTTGGGCAAGGCTTAGGGCCCGATGGACTTCACTACTGTCCGTGGCAGACCTTTCGTGAAGAAATGCTAGATTGTCAAGGCTTGCACTCTGTCTGTATACGAGACCCTAAAAATGACAGCACGTGCAAATGGCTACCTAACAGAATGTACAAACGTTGCATGAAACGACGTCAGAAATGGTTGGAAAGAGAAAAGCAGAGAGAGCCTTAAAACGCCGCTAGGCGGCACTGTCATCGAGTACTCGTCCAAAAATCATGGGTGATGCACACAAGTATTGTAAAAACACAGAAGTGTAACGCTTATTTCCATATTCTTTAACTATGAAACAGAAATTTCAACTTGGAGACAAAGGAAGTATTTTTTTTTCACATGAGAACATTTTAGTACAAATATTGTTCACATTTTCGAGAAAAAAAAACAACAACTATAATTCTAGTACAATAAAAAAAACGTTGGAATTCTTAAGTTTATTTACAAAAATATATATATAAATCAATCAACATTGAGGCAGTACGTATCATTACGACGATTGGGTGTAAATTATTAATACGAGTAAATATTACACATTCTGGTTTTGCTGGTACGAAGTGAAGACTGTTTCAAGGCGTAATTGTTTACTCAACCTTACCTTTATTATATATTCTGTTGCAACGTACAGAGAAAATGTAATAACTTATCAAACCATTTTTTAACATTAAGATAATTTTTTAGATAAAATATGGTTCAAAGTGGCATTGCTTTTGTTACATTTTTTTGCGTCCTTATTTTAATAACCTTATTAATATTTCGCATATGGTCATAAAATAAGTGTACTTATGACGTTTGATACCGATTTAATGCGAGTAAAATATGCCTGCAAAACTCAACAATTCTTGTAGCGTTCTGAATAATGTCGTTAAAACGTCTCTCTTTTTTTTTTTTCTTATGAAATATTATGGCCAATTTCATTTAATTTTAATAAAACGTTTATGCCGTGCACCAGTAGATGGCGAAACTACATTTGTTAACTCGCAGAATAGATGTAACTATTATTCGTGACGAAAGGTAAGATTTTAGGCAGATCAATAAAAATTTCTAAGAAACTAAATGAGATCTTAGTTAATATATAATGGTTTTATTTTGAAAATTACAGATGACTTCATAAAAAATCAAAGCTATAATTAAGTCAGAATCCGAATTTAATTTTGATACATATTTGTTACTAAGCTTAGGATATTTTTTTTAATAATGTAAAAAAAAATTGAAGGTATTTGTATTTAAATTTTGTTTTCGTTAAGTTTTGTCAAAATATCAATTTGTTCATTTTTGGTTAAATATAATGTGTTTCATTTACCAAAAAATGTACTGGATGTTATGTTGTGTTTTACAAATAGTCAAATAAAAATTACCAGGATTTCTTGGGATCACAAATAATATATAAACACGACTTATTACTTTTTTCATTTTTTTATCTTGCGTAATTCTCGTAAGGGGGGGATACAATATTTTATTATTGAAACTGGACTGACAATATCGAAAGTATTAATTAGGTCGTTGATAACTGCTTTAATTGTCTAAGCCAATATTATTTTGTCCAAATGAGCAGTTGAACTTTTATTTTGAAGTATCTATACATTTCTTAAAACCTTTCAAACATTATGGGCAATTTCATTTAATTTTAATAAAACGTTTATGCCGTGTACCAGTAGATGGCGAAACTAAATTTTTAACTCACAGAAGCAATAAAAATTTGTAGGCACCTAAACGAGATCTTATTTAATATATAATTAAATTTTCAAAACCATATTAGTTTAAACAGTTAATGACCGTACCTTTAAATAACGTATCTCAAATGTAACCTTGCCATCTAGTCTTTTCGTTAAATATAATAAGACTGGCGTAATCGTTATAGTATAGTTATCAAACTAACCGTTAAAGTGTAATTATCAAAACTAACCGTTAAAGTGTAATTATCAAAACTAATTGGTGGAGTATAGTTATCAAAACTAAATGTTAAAGTATAGTTATCAAAACTATTTGTTAAAGTACAGTTATTATTGGTTTAATGGATAAAATACACGTTACTTAACTATTGCTCAAACGACCAAGTTGCCAATGACACACTAGGCCATTTCATTCTGCTTTAGAAAACTATCTAATTACTTTTCTCAAGATCTGTTACTGTTATGTATAAAATATCTAGAGAAAATGATAATGAATCCTAATAATAATTAGTGCAATGAAATTATATAAACTGCCTCTTGGTGGCAAAAACAAACAAAATGGCGGAATTAACCAAGAGATGAAAATAAGCAACCAATGTCGACGTCAAAGAAACCTTTTTAACATTCACGTATTTTCCATTTTTAAATCGCAAAATTTTCAGAAAGTTATTGGAATGAGACAGGTCTTCAATCTACCAATATCTTCAGAAATACAAAAATACAGAGTAAACATCCTGAAGATTCATGATAAACAATTTTGACAGCTCTGTTTTGTAAGAGATCTGAAACTTCCTGATTCAAAATGTGTGTGTAAACTGGGTCAGAAGGAAATGGTGAGATTGACCGGCTAAGACCTTGACAGAATATACTTTGGCAATTGTCTTGTAATTCACTCCTGAGGATGACGTTGTGACGTCGAAACATGTAGAGTCGTCAACTTTTTTAAGGCCATACATAGGCCTAAATAACGTGTGTGTAAACTGGATCAGAGGGAAATGGTGGAAGAGGAAAGACGAGAACCTAGCAACACAACACGACAGACAATTGTTGAAGGAACACAGAAGCACGTGGGAACAAATATTAAATCAATGAGAGTCAGACAACGAAGTCTACAAAGTAGAAAATTGGTCTCGATTATAAGAATCAGGCAAATAGAGAGTAACTGATAGCAAAAGTTAAGAAAACTCAAAAGAAGACAAATCCAAGCACACAGGAAAGAAAACTGACGAGAATACAAGGAAGAAAACCACACAGAATTCCATCACCTCCCGCAAAGAATGGTCTTTGAACTTGTGAAGAAAGGTGTGTTGTGGAAAAACGACCATGCTAAAAGCTTACATGAAGAATACGATGAATGTGAAAAATATTGGTCTTCTGTTGATCTCTGAAGACATCAGCACCAATCCAAATATCAGGAGAAGGTGGAAGATAGAAGTATTCAAGAACTGAATCATCTAACAAAACACCAGCACCCTTAGAAATCTGTTTAATAATTTCCAATCAGAGAAAGCTATGTACGTAGGGCGAAACTAAACATTTACCTGGCCATCAGTGTAGCTAGTTAAATATACCCTTATTGCTTATCTACTTATAAAAAAATAGAATGTTTTGTTTCATAAACTGGGTACCTTTAACTGTTAATGATATTTTCGGCCGTAAAAATTAAAAGTAACACATATACCTAAGAAGAAAACTGAAGCAAACCCAGCATAAGCTTCTACAAAAAGGAAGAACAGATTGAAGGGAAAGATTGGGCTTGTTCACCAAAAGGAGAAAAAAAATGATGTCCCGCACATCGAGCATCAATAGAATTGGAAAACTAAAACGACCCGCCAATAGATGATTCAGGTGTGACAGCCCTGATATGCCAATCAATGAAAGCTGACAATGTAGAGTAGCCACTGGATGTCCATGCATACTAGAAGGATACTCTATGAATAAGGCCTTCAAAAGGTTTTTTTTTTTCAATAACCGAAATGTTAACACCAGTATTAACACTGACTTCACAATTTATGGGTCAAGTAAACAATGGAACTAAGTTTACAGAACGGCTGTCGTGTAAATAAGAAAATCTAGTCGCGTGGAAATTGGAAGAGTGGTAAGATGACACACGCAATACATTGCGTCAAGGACGTTAAAATCTAAAAGTCGTGTGGTTGGCCTAGCAACAAAAAGTCAACAATAAAAGGTTTATTGGAAAGGTCTATCTGATTCGAATAAGGCTTTTAGAATTATGGAGTTTACAAGTTTGTTACTCTGTCTGTTACTGTCGGCCAATTAGTCAGTTTACTGCCATTAACTTTGGGTTTCTGTTTCGATCAAGAACCACAGATATGAAGTTAGCAAGTGGAATTTCTGTTAAAGGTGTGGTTTAATGTGAGAAGTTGGGCCTATCATTGGCCATTGTCTAAGTTTAACATCGATCTTAGAGTTGCAAAAATAATATATATATTATGTTTAAATGTACTACGTTTTGTATTATTTTCACCAAGTATTCCAACCTACAATATAAAATGTTAATAGGGTTAACAATTGCCACAGATCACAACTTAAGTTTTTGAATACCGATAAAATCATTCTCGTATTTATGAGAACATTAAAGAATATAATTTAAAATTATATAAAAATAACTACAGCTTTTAATAATCGATGATTTTCACAAATATATGATTGTACTATGGATAATTCATGTGGGTTATAATTTAAATTATAAACAGTGTCTTGAAAAAAAAAGTGCTCTTGGTGTAATAGTTGATCAGTCTCTAAAGCCATCCAAGAAATGTACTGTTGCTAGTAGTATGGAAAATAGGATTTTAGGTTGCATCTACAGAAATATTGAATACAGGTGTTAAGAGGTTATAATTTAAATTATAAACAGTGTCTTGAAAAAAAAAGTGCTCTTGGTGTAATAGTTGATCAGTCTCTAAAGCTATCAAAGAAATGTACTGTTGCTAGTAGTATGGAAAATAGGATTTTAGGTTGCATCTACAGAAATATTGAATACAGGTGTTAAGAGGTTATAATTTCATTATATAGATCACGGGTCAGGAATTGTTGGAAATGGTTACAAGAATAATAATGGCTGGAGACGGCTTGAATGGGTAATGAAAAAAACTTTAATATAACAGCAA